CTCACAGCTGCAGATGGTGGCCTTCCGCGAAGAACCGGCTCGTCCCAGATCCTCATACACGTACTGGACACTAACGATAACTTCCCACAGTTCAGTCAGTCAGTGTATAAGGCGCGGATAATGGAAAACAGTCCCCGCGGCGCCCTCGTGGCTACGGTGGAGGCCAGGGACTTGGACCTCGGTTCCAACGCCCACATAACCTACTCCTTCAGGCAGACGCCCGAGGAAATCCTGAGAGTCTTCAGCCTAAACGAGCTAACAGGGGAAATCAGTGTTGCGGGGGCAATCGACTACGAGGAATCGAGGGCCTACGAGCTGAACGTGCAGGCGACAGACGGCGGGGGACTGTCCGCGCACTGCAAAGTGCTGGTGGAGGTGGAGGACGCGAATGACAACGCCCCGGAAGTGACGCAAACATCGCTCACAAGCCCCATCCCCGAGGACGCCCGCCCCGGCACGGTGGTGGCCCTGCTCAGCGTATCGGACCGCGACGTGGGCGACAACGGCAGGGTAGCGTGCGCCATCCGGGGCCGCGGCCCCTTCGCGCTGCGGCGGACAGTGCAGAGCTACTACGAGCTGCTGACCCAGCAGCCCCTGGACAGGGAAGAGGAGCCCGAGTACAATGTCACCATCGCGGCCACGGACGGGGGCTCCCCGCGCCTCTCCTCTCTCCAGACGATCCTCGTGGAAATCGCGGACGTGAACGACCACGCTCCCGAGTTCGGCCAAGGCATCTACAGCATGTCCGTGCGGGAGAACAACAGTCCGGCGCTGCTGATTGGCAGCGTCACCGCCGTGGACAAGGACGCAGGGCAAAACGCCCGAGTGACCTACTCGATCCTGCGCGGCCCGGGCGTCGCCGCGTCCTCCGTCTCCATCCACCCCGAGAGCGGCGACATCTACGTGCTCAGGGCGACGGATTACGAGGAGGAGCGCGAGTTCGAGGTGGGCGTGAGAGCGACGGACGCCGGGTCCCCGGCGCTCAGCTCCGAGGCCGTGCTGCGCGTCGTGGTGCTGGACGAGAACGACAACGCGCCCTTCGTGCTGCACCCGCTGCAGAACAGCACGGCGGCGTGGAGCGAGCTGGTGCCGCGCTCGGCCGAGCCGGGCTACCTGGTGACCAAGGTGGTGGCGGTGGACGCGGACGCGGGGCAGAACGCCTGGCTGTCCTACCAGCTGCTCCGCGCCACGGAGCCGGGGCTCTTCGCCGTGGCGCTGCACAGCGGCGAAGTCAGGACCAGCAGGGCTATCACTAACCAGAACTCCGTGAAGCAGAAACTTACCATCCTTGTTACAGACAACGGGGAGCCCCCCAGATCCACCACCTCTGTGGTGAGTGTTCTTTTGGTGGACGGCTTTTCAGATGCGTATATGCAGCTCGTGGATGTGACACTTGCAGAGGAGGACCAGGAGGACGCATTGACCTTATATTTACTTATATCTTTGTCTTCGGTTTCATTTCTTTTTCTGGTTTCAGTGGTTATAATTATCGCAGTTAGGGTTTACAGAGTCTTGCATTGTAAGAGGTGTCTGCCACAGTCACGGAGTACCTATTTTGACCCGAGTTTCCATGCTAATCCGACTGACACCGGCGGTACCGGGACTCTTTCTCAGTCTTATTGTTATGAAGTGTGCTTGGCAACTGGGTCCGGGGCCAACGAATTTAAATTTCTTAGGCCTCTGTTACCATCTCCACCAACTGGTTTTAGCGCTGGGGAAGTGTCCAGCCCTGGTTCTCATCAGATTCGCTGTGACATTACGGAGGAGACAGAATCTCTGAGACGGGTAAGTGATCTTCTGCCTCTATTTCCACTGATCCCAGGCTTGGATATGGTTTTTTATAACTTCTTTGAAGAAGACATTGAATTATTTATGTTACCTAATTCGCAACAAAAATATAATCTGCTGTTTACCTTCTTCTTTTATAATATTCAGACTAATATACTTGCTCATCAGTACTTCTTTCATATGTATTATCAGGCCACTTTTTTTTCTCTAAAAACGACTTTGCCAAACCAAGGAATCAGCGATTTCAGGAAGGCTGAATGAGTAGTCTAATCACCTCTGAGTCATTCTCTACAGAACTAATTTAGGTGGCCGCTCATTCAGTATTCTGGGTTCTGTTTGTTCTCTTTTTTATTTTTGTTTTTATGCTCCGCGAGCTAACTACCCATGAGTTGTGCAGGAAGCCTGCATGACTAATTAAAAGGAGAGGATTCCATTAGGGAGCAGGACATTTTAGAATCAGGCATGGCAAGGTAGATAATTCTCCTTCCTATGTTTTGTACTTAGTGTCCAGCTACCTAACTGCTCCAAATGATTTCAAACACAACCCGGGCACCGTACAATTCTGAATATTAGATCCAAAATGTCATGAATGGGGCACCCAAATCTCAGACTGCTTTCCAAAATTTTAGCTTAAACAAACAACGTGATGAGGACCTCTTTGATCTGCTCACCTAAATAAACATAAAACATTTTTCAGATTTGCAACAGAAAATATTGCACTCAGGGTGTAAAATATTCCTGACTCCTGGAGGTAGGGTGGAGGGAGAGGCTGGCGGGGGAGAGAAGGGGGCTGGAGTGAGAACTACAACTACAAATTGGTATACAATGGAGTGCTACATAGCAAATAGCTACATGAAACTATATTTTTCTCTCGGTCTTTGCGTTACAAACTTCCCCTCCAAGTTACATAATTCTACAATACCATCTTTTGGAATATCAGTAATCACAAACATTTACACACCATAAGCTATAGAGTCCTAATGACAACTCCCACTGAGTTTAGAAAGGACTGATCTCATTCAAAGTTCCGTTTGTAAGCTGAGGTTCTGATTCCATTTCCTCTGCTTTCATTAAAGCCAGAACTTTTCATCGAAGACAAACCCAACCTCACATCATTCTTTGTTCTTTGCAGGGCACAGCCTCTTTCTCTGAAGACTTGGTTCCCAGATCGGGAGGCCCAGGTTGTGCTGTTAACAAGCTAATAGGGTCGAATGAAGACTCTGGCCAAAATGGTTTGCTCTCTTACCAATAGTGGAGGACAACCAACTTTGATCTGTTCACTTACAGACAGTGTAAAGGGGACATGAAAACAAGGAGACATATCCTCAAAAAATTACCAAGAAGGGACTGATCAGTCTTCTGAGACCAAGGGCATGCATCTAACTTTTATTCTATATATTCTGATTTAGGAAATTTAAAATACCTTCTGCATTTCAGATATGACTATTAAAAAAGAGCGGGAGATATTACTACTTGCATGTTTTGTTTATTCCAACCAGTCCTTATTTTGTGATTATAAGAGTTGTGTTGCTCCAGGCTGTTTACATATAAAAGGAAGTATAGAAGTAATCAAAAGTAATTCTGATAAAGTCAAAAGTAATTTATCAGAAAATACCTTCCTTATAACTTTTTCCTAAAGATATGAGTGCCAAATATTGTCTTGATTTCCTGCAACTTTTCCAGTGCCGAGTCTAGACAGCTTAATTATGGGAGGGTTTTTTTTTTAAATAACTTCTAAACTATTTAGATATTATCAGATAAAACTGCTTAAATTAGTTAGTTGGCTATAATATACATTACATATTTTGGGGGAAGGTGGGAAAATTCTTATACTCTGAAAATGTTTTGTTTTTAATCGTATTCTTTTTCTAATCATGTGAAACTGAAAGTGGTGGTTACAGGGCTCTTCAAGATCCTTGGATGTAAGAGTATAGAAGTGAAAAGTTCATTTCCATTACATCAGTGGTTTTATAGTAAAATAGATGAAAGTCATACAATAAAGTTCAGACCCTGTAAAATAAAATGTGTCAAGAACAATTCCTTCCTTCCTTTATCCGCTTTGGACACCTCAGACTGGGCTCACTTGGAGCTGCATGGGGTGATCCTGAGTGTAAGACTCCCCCGTTTCTTATCTCTTTTCTTTTCTGACTCCCACCTGTCTACAGGTCTATTGCTTTTCTCTATCTCCCTTTCTGATTTTTTTCTTGCATTTTTGCAGGGGGTTTTTTCTTTTTCTCTGTTCTCTGTCCCCTCCCGCTTTTACTTCCAATTTCTCTGTTTGCAAGTTGCATTTGTCTACTTTGCAGCTTCTCTCTTATTATTTCTCTTGCTTGCTTGGTTGCTTGCTTGTCTGCTGCAGGGAGTTATCTTATTTTATCTTTTGCCTTTTGAGGGGTGTTCTTAATTCACCCCTTTTCATTTTCTTTTACATTCTTCCCCCACACACACACCCCTCTCTCTTTTTCACTTTTCTTTTCTCCCCTCCAGGCACTCACCCCCCTCCCTTTTTGCTTTTTATGGCTGCATTCCCAGACACTTATCTTTGTAGTTTACATATACAATTTTTTTTTCAATCCCTTGGTTTTAGATTTTGGGATTAGCCCTGCCCTAGAAGGAGTGGCCACTCCTACACCCAATGGCTGGCATGGGGATGCCTCTCAAGACCTCCCTCTTAACCATGCCTTGAGGGTTCATACCCTTCCCTATGTCAGGGTTGAGGTCTGAGCAGGTGCCCTATCTGATCTCCTGGGACAACGTTACACATCTCATGCTAACACAGTCCCAGTCATTTACCCGAGTGCTCCCACCCTGGTCAACAGGGTGTGTGCAGAGGGCCTGGACATCGCAGGCATACACTATCCTGTCACACCCCTAGACACCCAGGCAGTGAGGGTCATGATTTCCAGCATCCCCCCCACACCTGTCCAGCTGGGAGCTGGCTAAGAGACTTCAGCCCTATGGGGTTCCTATGAGTCCCTTTCACCAACTGGCAATCAGAAGCAAGGACCCGAAGCTGAAGCATGTCCTGTCCTTCTGAAGGCAGGTCTTCATGCTCCTCAGGGAGGGTCCCTTGTCTCTGCCTCACTCTTTGAACCTCAAGCTCAACGGGTGGAGGTTTGTGATTTACTTTTCCTTGGAGCAGGCCACGTGTTTCCAGTGTGGTAGCTCTTCCCACCTAGCAGCCCAGTGTCCACAGGGGAAAGCAGCCGAAACATCAGTGACTGGAGTGGTGCTGAAGGATGGTGCATCTACTTCTGGGACACAGGCCCAGCCCAATGAGGTCGGGATCTCTTCCCAACTTCCTTTCATCCCCATTCCATCTGGGATAGCTGGGGTCTCCAGCATGAGAGCACCAACCAGCGGAGGGGCTGGGACTACTACCCAGCCCTCTCCCCAACTTGTCCCACCTACAGTGCCTACCCCTCTCCCCCAGTGCAGAGGCCCCACCAGGTGGAGGGGCTGATGCCTCCACTTGCCCCCCACCCACCCTGACCTCCCTGGCCAAGGCAGCTGGGGCAGCCAGTGACTGTGGCATCATGGCCCTGTCAGATGATGGGGCTCGGGCCTCCTCCCAGCCACCCTTCACTGCGGCCTTGTCTGAGGTGGCCAGCGCTGGCGGGGTGGAGCAGGCTGGGAGTAGTCTGGCCCATCCCCTACAAAAGCTGGGCTTCCCACCACCAAGAAGAAGAACAAGGAGAAGAAGATGAAGGGGGCCTCTCAGGACATCCCATCCTCACCAGGACCTTCCTTGGCTGGTCCCAGGGGGACCCCCACTGGAGAGCCTGACCCCACTCCGGCTGTTCCGCTGGTGACACCATTGCACATGGCCATGGATGGGGATGACTTGGCAGCAGGGGAGGCAACAGCAGGGGTTACCAACCCCTCACCTGTCTCCCACCTTCCAGAGTCATGTGCAAGTAAAGGTGATACAGCATGCCTTTCTTCTGGAGGCCTGAGCCAGGGGGTGGAAGAGGGGTTTGTTGACTTCTTGGTCACATATCAGCCTACTGGATTGGATGGGGAAGCTAGTGAGATGAAGATTCAGCTTTCTGAGTATTGTAAGTGACCTTGAGAGCAGGATGACCTCTCTCCCCACAAGAAGACAGAGATCACTCTCCTGGAGCCGGTCCTCAACCTGGGCCATGAGAGGAGGCTGCTGTGTCTGGTCATTGAGGGGGTAGACACTGAATTTGCAGGTGAGCTCTCACCTGGGTGCAGCCTCATCGCTCTTCTGCCAGAAATGTCCAGCCCATGTTGGCAGAACCCCCCCCCCCCAGGTCACCCCCAACTGTGTGGGTCTCCTGACCTTTCTGAAGCAGACCAAAGGACAGAAGAATGTAGTGAGGTGCCTCACCCAGTGGTGCACAGACCCTAAGCTTTTTGTCAAGGCTGCCAGGGCTGTGGCCAAACTTATGCAGCAAGATCTAGGCACCCCACAGATGGTTTACCATCTGGAGAAACTTGCACAGCAGGTGAGAGATGAGTGGGGCCTGTGGGGGTGTCCCTGGGGTGGAACACGGCATGATAGGCCTTCCCCGACCTGTCTCTGCTGTCTTACTCTGCTCTTGGGTGCTCGCTCTTCCACCCACACCTTGCCTCGCTTTTCCTCTCCCATACCCACACCCATGGTAGCTATGACCTTTGGCACTTTTAACAACAATGGATGTTGAGATCTGGTGAAACAGGAGGCCATCCTGGAGCTCCTGTGCCAGAAGCAGCTGGCCATTGCCTTCTTCCAGGAGACACATTCCAATGGGCTCAACCAGATAGCCTGGCATGTTGCCTGGTGAAGCTGCTTGTTCCTGAGCCATGGCACTAACCTCAGTGCCAGGATCACAACTGTCCTATCACCACAGCTGCAGCTTGACACAATGGTAGCATAGGAGGTTGTCCCCAGCTGCCTGCTGACTGCCCACGTCACCCTAGCACAATACCACCTGCTACTCATCAATGTCTACATACCCACTGATGGCCAGGAGAGGGTCATTTTTTTCAAGACCTTGGCCACCCTCCTGCATGATGCCAGTGAGGACAATGATCTGCTCTTTATAGGCAGGGACTTTAACTGCACCATTGATGCCTCACTCGACCACACAGGGCCTGAGACTCACCTGCCCTCAGCCCGCAAGCTGCAATCTGCTCTGGAGACCGCGGACCTTGTCGATGGCTGTCACCAAGCACCATCTGCCACTCCTGCACAGCAGCCACATCGTTCCCTTGGGCCTGTCAGATCATGGCCTGACCTGCTGTAAACTGAGCATGCCCAGGAGAGCCTGCATTTAGGTGCCTTATTGGTGCTTCAGTGTCAGCCTGTTCCAAGACTCATACTTTCAGGACCACTTCACCCACTTTTGGCAGGGCTGGGAGGCCACAAGACTGAGTTACTCCTCCTGAAAGCTATGGTGGGATGTGGGAAAGGTACTGATCTGGGCTTTTTGCCAGTAGTACACCCAGCTGGCCACGAATGAACTGTATCACTGTATCCAAGAGCTGGAGGAAGATGCGTGCTCCTACCCATACCAGGTGGCCAAGCAGGGCACCATCTGCCTGGCCAACTTTCTGCTGAGTCAGGCCAAGATGGCTGTCCTCAAGAGCTGCTGCAACCGGCTTGCTGGGACTATGCCCTGCGGCTTTTTGGCCCCCTGGTGCAGGTGCACCTCTGGCTGGAGTTTGAGCACACTGTGCTCCGGCAGGTGGTGCATGCCTTTGAGGACCCTCAAAGGCCCCTGTGGGGGTGCTGTGCCATGTGGAGGATGGCTGTCTTCAATACACGCTCTGATGTCATGACCGGTCTGGCTGACCAGGCAGGCTCAGAAGCAGACTGCAACCCCAAGCTTGCGTCATGCCCTGGGCCCTCACCAGGCTGCCTTTTGCTTTTTTTTCCCTTTGTGTGGGAAGTTGAAAGTTTTGTTACATGGTCTATTGGATAGAGCAGAGTAGGACTCATTTGTTTATAGAGTCTTTGGTCTGTACGCCTGTGTGGGCAGATGTCCCAACCACATAACGGCGTGTTAGGCACGACATGTAATACTGCAAAGGTGTATGTCATGGTGTGATGTAATGAATGTAATGGCATGGTGCTTTTGGTTTGATGGTGGTTTGTTTGTCTTTGCTTTGCATATTGGACCTGGACCCCCAAGGGGTCGACATTTTGTATCCCGAACCCCTGAATAAAGTAGCTCATCAGATGGGAGACAGAGGAAGTTTCACTTACTATTTTACTGAGACAGTATGCAAGATCCTTTGGAGCCCAAATCTAAGTTCTTAACTCCATAGGTATGCATCTGAATAACCTGTTTTTAAAGCTTCATTGGACATTTCCTATCAAAATCAATGGAAGCAGGGCACGTCTGGCACTTCAAAACACTAGGCTAACTTTACTTATGCACTTCAAAATGGATTTAGGTGTCTGGCATTAGGCCAACACTTTTTAAAAATTCCCCTATGTGCAGAATTGCCCTATAATAAACTCTGCCCATTCCT